CCTCCTGTTTAATCAACTCACCGAAGGGATGTTTAGCCGTGATTTTGTCTGACTCAGCAAACTTGCCGGCGCCCACGTCATTTTTGGCGCACACCCTGAACACATACTGCTTGCCCTCGACCAGACCCGTGACCTTGTAGGGGCTGACCTCCGTGACCTCGGCCACGTCGTTCCACGTCTGCCGGCTGGCGTCGCGCTTCTCGATGATGTAAGAGGTGACGGGCTTGCCGCCGTCGTCTTCCGGTGGTTGCCATGACAACATGGCGCTCTCGGCGGTGATCTCAGAGACAGTGACGTCACGGGGTACGGATGGCTTGTCTGAAATAGGGACAGTTTTGTTTTTTCGTGTAATTTATTTATAATTGTTTTATTAGTTTTGAATACAGATCAAAGTTTTAGCTTGAAATAGGGAATTTTTGTTCGTGTAATTTGTTTATAATTATTTTATTAGTTGTGAATACAGATCTACATTTTAGCTTGAAATAGGGAGATTTTATATTTTTGTGTAATTTGTCTACAATTGGTCCGGGCTTACCCAGATTTCGGGGGTTTTCAGAAATCTAGACCTACACCAAAAATGGACATTGACCTACCTATAGGAGAAGTTAAGTTTCAGTGGCGTGTATATTTGTTTGGTTATAGAGAAAAGTCTCCTTGTCTTTTAAAGAAACTGAACAATTGGCAAAAACGTTACCTTTGATTTTCTCAAAGTAACATTTTTCGGGATAGCCCCCTTGTGTTAAAAAGCGACCAATTGTTTTATTAGTTGTGAATACGGATCTAGGTGTTGCCTTGAAATAGACCCTCATATGCGACTAATTCTCTTCAAATTGCCCTTTTACAAGTCAAAGAAATTTGAACTTTACACCTACCTTGAGCTCAAATCTTACTATGCAGAGCCCTAAAATTATCTTTATAACCCTCTGCACAGTCCCATAGACCTTGAGACTGATGAATGCCGACCATGTTAAATGATGGGGCCTACCATTCAAATTAACAAATGCCTACCCCACAAGTCGACAAATGCCTACCACGTTTATAAACGAGTGCCTACCACGAAAACAAACCACAGACATCTAGTACACACCTAGCACCAGCAAGTTGATCGTGATTTCCGCGATACCGCTGTTGTTCTCCAGCTTGACCGTGTAGTTTCCGGTGTCCGTGCGCTTCACGTGGCCCAGCCGGACAGTGGTCATGTTGTAGATGGTCTCTGCCTCCATGCGCTTGGCGTCCGGCAGAGGCCCGTCCTTGAAGGTCCAGGTGACCTTGGGCTGAGGGTTTCCGGTGAACGGCACCTCGAAGGCTGTGGACTGGCCGGCGTTCAGGATGACGGTCTCTTGGTAGCGCTTGTCGATGAAGATCTCTGGTGGGACTGTTGGCGGGGAGGGGGGGGGAGGTGAAAATAGGGGAA